TGTCGTTGTGTCCTTGGGCAAGACACTTAACCCCACTTTGCCTGAAGCCCCCACTGAAAGATCTCAGCTCCTGTGGACTCACCACCTGCAGGAGGAACAGTGAGGGGCTGGTGCTCTGTGTACTGGGTGGCATCTCTGGCCACCCCCCCCGACCCAGAAATGGGGAATTAAGGGGAAGAAAATGGATGGATGGATGGGTCTGAAAAGTCGCTAAATCTAGCGACAAAGTCGCTAAGTTGGCAACACTGGGAGGGTCCCAGCTCAAAAGTGGCCAAAATGGTGAGCTGACATGCTTGCAATACTTACTCTACCCAGAAGTAGAATTGGCCAATGCTAACATATAGACCTCTCAAAAACGTCTTTACAGGATGGTCCAAAGGTTGGCTCTTGGCCCAAAGCTCCGTTCCACATGTGTGTCAATGCTGACGGGGGTTGATTTTTTTGGTCCACTCTAGTTTACTTGCTGTGAATTTTTTAAGTCTCTCGTTCAAATGAATGGAGCTGCGCCGGCTGACGCATGCGCAGATGCGTTTTTTCACAATTTTCTTGTGGGCGGGACCACTCGCGGCCATTTTGGATTGCTCCAGTAGAGCAAATTTTTTGGCCCATTAGTTAGAACGGCGGAGATAGGCGTGACTCTCTCCTTTAATATATACAGTCTATGAGAGGAGCACAGGTACATTTAGACTCACAGAGACACGGGTGGAACACATCCGGGCGGGGCAGACAATCAACAGGGGAACAGGACAGACTAGAAAATTAGTCCACATGTAAAATACATTAAATAACAGTAAAAAAAACAAAATTCCACACAATGAGAGCATGGCGAGGCTTGATTTTCTCCCAGAATTTTACTAAGACGATTTATGTTGATACAAACACAATGTATTAAATAGAGAGTTTTAGCTACTCCCAAATTGTTATATGAGTTAATACGTATATGAAATCCAGCCAAGAGCACAATCCCCCATAGAAACAACTTTTGAATGTGTCACCTCAGACCTCCACACCCCTGCGCCTAAAGAACCAGGCCAAACAAACACAAAACCCATTAGGTTCCTCCGGTGTCGCTAACTCATAGATGCTAACGTGCTTTCTCGCGCCCCATGGGATCGAACCCCAGTTGAAACAGAAGAAGTCCATTCAAACGCTGTCCAAAACGCTGTATATTTATTTCTGCTTTGGTCGTCAGCGTATTCCGGAGCGCTGGGTTAGCATGTTTGTTGTGGCTGTCGGAGGTGATGGATGGACCTGATCATGTGAGCGCGCCGCAAATGGGGAAGACAACGGACGTGTTATTTAGATGGACGTTAGACGCACTTCACTCACTTCAAATAAAACATGTTCCAAACCGGCAGAAATAGACAGACGAGGAATGACACCAGGGGATTTTAGTCCAACGTTATGGTGCGAGAATGCAATATTTGTGCACCAGCTAGCATGCTATCCCAGAGTCCCAGGAGGAAGTTTTAAGCAAGGCTGAGAAATGTACAACGATAAATAGAAAGGATAGTATTAAAACATGTAGGTTTAAAAAGAAGGGATGTTTGGGCGGTAACACAACTTCTCAATTCATCGATTTGAAAATTAATGAAATACTTGGAAATTATGTTCAATTGAAGATATTTGTCTACAGCAGCGGTGTCAAACTCATTTTGGTCAGTGGCTGAATAATAAAAAACAGGAACTGGTTGGAAGCCGAAAGAATTTTAAGGCACTTCTTTTTCTTATAATTGTTTTTACATTATGACAGTATTTTGACATTACTTTGACATGAGTTTCACTACTTTTTTCTGGTTTATTTTTTTTTTACATTGTTTTATTTTTCAAATAAAATGTGTTAGATTTAACCAAAGCTGGATCAAATGAATGGTCAATGAACACATTGTTTAATATTTAAGTATTAGACTTCTAATGATGTGTTGGGTTAGAATTTTATAATGCATGTCCTGAGAAAATGGTAATAATAATAATAATAATTGAGAATCTTTTCAAGGGCCCCTAAAAATAGTTTTGCCGGCTAGATTTGGTTCACAAGCCTGAGTTTGATGTCTTGTCTGCAGTATGACATGAACCTTTTATGTACTATTTTGATTAATTTACGAACGTTGCACCCATAGATTGTGTATAGATGGACAATGTTTATCTGTTTGCTATCTCCTATTGACTTACATTGAAAAGTAAATTCCATAGAGGGAGGGTTCAGCGCCCTCTATGATCCTGGTGTGTATATTGTGTTATTGTCTTTGTAAATCTAGATATGAGCCATAAATGGATTGACCAATCAGAGCAAGGACCAACCTCAATCAGCCAATCAGCTCTCAGCCCACAGAGTCTAGGCTCTCTGTCCTCTAAAAAAGATACAATATTTTTTAGAGGATTATTTGTATGAAGACATGTCTGGGTCGATCAATACTTTACAATAGTATCTGCCAAGACAAAAAAAAAACATAACTTTTTTTTCTTTAGCTTGTTGTCAAAACTGGCTTTGATTTCAGCATGTTAGAACCATGGCCAAACTACCACTCACGACATTATCTTCAAAACCTACTCGAGTACATGTGACAGAGTACCCCCACTTCTGCTGACAGCTCGATTCTTCTTGCGTAGCTTCGCGTTCCCACACATTTCTCTCGTTATGCTAATCCCGGGGTTTAGCGCTTCTGGGACGGTGTATTTGCGGTGGTCTCTTTTACCTGGAGACAGCCGCGGTGACAGTGACGTATTAGTTACTGTCTGCTAAATTCAGATTTCCACCTAGTTAAGTTTTGATTTATGTGGGACCATTTGGCTGGAGTAATTGGCCGGGACTGTTGTATGTAGAAAATAATTAAGGCTGTGTGCAGAGCTAACGCGGAGGCTACGCTAACGAGACAAGGACGACGCCGTCACTGACAGTTATTAATGACTACAGTGATATACGGGTTACATGGGAGGAAATGACATTTAAAACAGAAAACGGGAACAAAGGTATTCATCATTTTGTTGTGAGTTTGAGTAACCTTAAAAGCTAACAAGAAGCTAACATGTCCCTTAGAGCTATATTATGGTCAAATTCAATTCAATATATTTTTGTATAGCCCTAAAGCGCAAGGGCAGTCATCTCGGAATACTTCACAAAGTTGTCAATTTGCCAACGAGTTTAAGTTTTACTTCTCCCTACTCCTTTTCAAATTGTGTATACTGTATATGTATGTATCAGAATCAACCGGTTCAAAATAATTGTTAAAATCTTGTCTAAACCAACATATCCATCCATCCATTGTCTTCCGCTTTATCAGTTGCCGGGTTGCAGGGACTCAGAAGACATTACAACGTTGTCGATTCCTCAACAACAGATCAAAGAATCAAGAAATGGAAATGAACACAGGAAAGAATTGCAGTAATAATAATTGGTCGTTAGGGGGCGGGATGACCAATGTCCATAAATGTCCCGGATCATCACTGTCCTATCAACACTATAGTAACATTGCAAGCTTGACAAACTAGTTTTATGTTACTTATTTAGAGCTGGTCATAGTAAAGGTGTATAACAACAGATATTAGATGTTTTATTGTCGGGGTTGCGTTCTAAAAGTAACCTACAATGAGTGAAATCCTTGTTTAACATACAGTAATTGCACAAAAAAGACCTGTAGTTGATTATTGATAACATTTCCCACTCCACGACTCTTACTTGTAGTTGAGTAATGTAATTGGATTTAGGTATTAGAAGCACACATGCATAAACTAGACTATAAAAGGACCAAACCGGACTTGGACTCATAGAATTATATCACTCTAGGTTCCTTAGTCCCTGGTGCATACATGTACTATCATACTATCACAACTGACGAAATGCATTCCTCCATTGTCAGCAAAACATTATTTGAAAGTAGGTGACGCTGGCGATCTGCACCATTCATCATTTCTCCTGCCTAAAGTCTTAACAAATCACACGGCGCGGTTCAGGCCTCGGAGGAGAAACCTGGCTTCTCCTCGTGGGCCGCCTCCACTTTCAGGGTCAGGGCGACTTTTGGTGCGTAACGAGGCGAGCATATGGCATCGCGACTCCCAGAACAACCCAATTAATTCATCAATCTGTGAGACTGTCAAGGATTTATTTCTCCTGCAGCTCTAGGCCTCAACATTAGGCAGAGTCCATTTCTCTCTCTCCTTTGAATGCAAGCCAAAGGGAGTTATTGCACAGTGGCTTGCCAAGCTAGTTTTGTATTACTTATTTAGAGCTGGCCCCTAACCCTAACTCTTAACTCTTCTGGTTTGACTTCATGTGTTAAAGCTGGGGTATGCAACAAATGGTTTTATCGCTAGTTTTCACAGGCGTGTATTCTGGCCTCTGTCACATACAGTATATAGACCAGAAAGAGAGATGAAGACCAGAAAGAGACCGGAGAGGGACAAGAGACAGACCCAACATTAGGCTGAGTAAATACAGTAGTCCAATGAATGCCAGCCAAAGGGACTAATTAATTGATAAACTAGTTATATATTACTTATTTACAGCTATAGTTGTTTTATATGGATCAGAGTACACGTGTTTAGAAAATATAAAGTGGGGAAGGGTCACAAAGGTGGGGGTACAGTGGTCTAGAAATGTCCCGCCTCTCTACTACTTCAAGATATATCCTTGAAGTAGCAGTGATATGTTTTAAGGCTGTAGACTGGAGATTGAGAACAGAGAGAGAGACTAGAGAGAGCTCAAAGAGATCGTAGAGAGAGAGAGATTTCAGATAGAAAGAGCAGAAGAGAGACAGACAGATATCGAAGAGAGAACCTGAAAGAAAGACCAAAGACTGGAGAGAGACTAGAGTGAAAGACCAGGGTGAGAGACTAGAGAGAGAGAAAGGTGAACCGTGTAATGGCAAGAGGCACCAGTGTGTTCCATATCCACAAACTCAGCTCTTTGACTTCTGCAGCATCAAAGTCAAACACACAGCTGCTTTCTGTCACTGTGCTTTCTCTTCAGCCCTTCTTTGGCCCCGCCCACGTCACCTCCCATCATGCACTGCAGCGGGCCTGTCCCATCACGGCAGCAGATTAAAATGGAGGTCTGCGGCGGTGGAGTCTTTCGTGCTGCCACTGGACATTACGGCGAGTCTGAGATGACGATCTTTGTCAGCTATTATTTCAATACACGAGAGAGTGGTGCCCTGTCTGCAGAGGTTTGGATCACACTCACAGACTTGTCCCGCAGAGGTCCCGGAGAGCACAGAGAGAAAAGAATTATTATTATTAGACGGATAAGGATTGCCAATATGATTATGAAAGAATGTTTCCCAAAGTGGCAAGGCAAGTTTCTTTGAGTTGCCTTGTGGATAAGATAAGATAAAATAGACTTTATTTATCTCACACAGCAGAAATGTACAAATGAGTTGTGCTTTACAAAGTGCAGAACAAAGCAAGATAGAAATAATCACACAGGGCATTAAAAAATCATAAATGAATAAATAAATAAATCATAAAAGTGCATTGAAAAATAGTGAACATACAATCCTTCAGTTGTATGGAGGGTTTTAGCTTTTGAAGAATGGGTAGCTTTACCACCAGAGAGAGAGCAGAGAGAGACCAGAGAGAGACAAGAGAAAAAGACTAGAGAGAGACCAGATAGAGACAATATAAACCTGAGAGAGAATATAAACCAGAGAGAGACTACTCTACTTTACTCTACCCCTGATTGGCAGCGTCTCCACTGGCCCTATTTAAGTAACATTGCTGTATACTTTTGAATGCGCTGGAAACGGCAGCAAGTATCTCTGAAACAGTAGTCTCGTGCTTTATCATTGTTAATTTTCATGAGATGTTGCCGCAGTACAGTGTTCATGGTTTTGCACTGTTCCTGACCGGCACGGAGAGGATTCATGGTCCGAACCAAGAGGATCGGGCGAAAATCCATTGGAGGAAGGCTAACTTTTTGAAAATTGCTAATAAAGCATTCAGCATGTCACTTTAGACTAGTGCACTTTGATACTATTGCTAGCTATTTTTAGAATTATAAATTTATTTATGCATGTGTTTCTGCTGCTACTGGACACCTGAATTTCTCCTACGGGAGATCAATAAAGTATCTATCTATCTAAAACAAAACCTCAGTCGGCCTCAGTCTCTAGCATAGAGACCTGTGTTAGTCCAGCTTCAGTTGTGAATTCCATATTTCCTCCCAGTTTTGATGCGTGAGTTAAGAGAGTGTGGCTGAGTGTGTTGTGGGGATATTTATCATGTCTGTCTAATTGCCCCTCGTTGGAGCTCCAGTCCTTACGCTGCGTTTGACCTTTTCTCCCGTTCTCCTAAAACCATTCATCATGCAAAGACCCACCGCACACTCGTGGGAGCAGGTTGCATTGTGTTGCCTCAGCGCGTCCAAAAAGTCCAGTTGGGAACAAGTTAAGTTGGCAATTTAACAGTAAAAATGTACTCACTATATAGGTGTATGTAGCAAGTTTGGGTTAGGGCCCCTCCTGATTGGCTCTCTGGTTGCTAGGGAGTTGCTATCTGAGAATTTGGTTCGATAACTACTATGACTATGTTTATTCAGGAACCAAATTCAAACAAAGAAAACACTAGTATGTCACAGTGAAAGACCAGAGAGAGAGACTACTAGAGAGAGAGACCGGAGAGAAAAGAGAAACGGACCAGCGGTTTTTAGTTAGTTTAATTTTGAGTTTTAAGTCATATAAATCATATATTTCTGATGATGCCTGCCCACTGTGATATTTGTTCCTTAATATATAATAGACACAGTATTCATTGAACCAAATGATCAGATAGCAACTCCCAAGCAACCATAGAGCCAATCAGGAGTGGCTCTGGTCTGTTTCGGTTTGTGCTGTCTGCTAGCCAAAGCCATATTCGGGGATGGTTAGATTGCGTTAGATTATGTATTTTTTCAACAGGAACTGAAGGTTTTTAGCCAAGAAGAAAGAGACCAGATATACAGAGGAACCAGACTAAGTGACCAGAGAGAAAGCAGAGAGAGATAGAGTCAAACAGAGAGAGACCAGAAGGATAGAGACCAGAGCAGAGACCAGAGAGAGAAAGGTCAGAGACCAGAGAGAGACAATATTTCAGTCTTATTGCGTGCACCACAATATATATTATCCATTATTGAGACACCAGACCATGTGGCGGCGTCTAAAGCAGGAAAACCCGTTGTTTCGCTCACGAGGACAGCCTGTAATTAACACTGCGTTTTCAAACTGTAAATCTGCCCAAACCCCGGTCTCGGGACACAACCACATTCCTCCGGTTTGTGTCAGAACTACATTCAACCTTTCAACTTTGTACATCGTAAACTATGTCATGGCCTTTATTATCTTTGGACCCAAACTGACAAACGCACGCCAAATATGTGCGGTAATATATGTTGGCGAAAGACTCGTACACACATGAGATAATGGGGCTGGGAGCAGGAATGACCGGAGTCTGAGAAATGGTCTTTACGAAGCTTTAAATTACGTAGAATGGATTTCACACATGATTTGAGTAAGTACTTGTTTGGTGACTCTTCCCACTGTGACTTAAGTTTTATTGGATGTACAGTGGGTTGCTAAATTCCCAATACAACTTGACCTTTTGTACTCAAATGGAGTGGGGTAAAGTAGCAAGCTTGAGGCCACCCCAAAGCCCAAACTCAATACAATAAAATGTACAGAACAAGGAAACACAAAAGCACAATTATAACCACAGTCTGGCCAAAGTCAGATCTCCACTAGCCTGGTCGTACCACACCATAGTACAAATTACATTTCGTACTAAGGTCTGGAGGCGCTCCATTGAGATCCGTTTACACGTAGGAGGGGTTAACTCCTTTTGCAGATTGAAACGATTGGATCTGAGTTTACCTTGACGTTTGTAATGCGCCCGAGTGAGTCGTTAGCATTTAGCCTAGCCATCTCCTTTGCCGCTAACGTAGCCCATGGGGAGTAGCGCCACAATTGTTTCTAGCGATTACATTTGCTAAACATTCCTTTTGCTCCGGCTTCGATTTCTAGATAGAACCAGACCGGATTACTTTACTATCGCATTTTTAGCCGTTGCCAAACTACGACCTTCCCGTTCAATGCAAACTCTTGACGTCACCCATAACTAACTACAACACCTTCCCTCCGCGCTCGCTGGTTGGTTGGCCGAAATTCAACCGATTGTAATCGCTAACACAGGGACTAGACCCAGACGTTACATGCAGTGAAATGATCATTGAGCGGAGTGTACGGATGGCTAAGGCCAGGCTAGGTCTCCACAGAGCAAGTAACAAAATGTAGTTACTGACACCAACAGTACTAATGATGAACCCTAACCACAAACATTGGATTTTCTTTTAGAGACAACAACAAAGTTACAGACTATTGTGACGTAAAAGCATCGTCAGCTGGTTCTAGCATCATTAAAGACATTATTCTAAAAGTTGGTAACATTAGTAAGTAAGTAATGTTTGTCACCGTGAAATGAAAAGAATTATTATTATCAGCACTTTGCAATTTAGGTGAATTTACTTTCTTATTACATTTAGACCTATTGAACTTGTTTTTTCAGTAGTAGGGCAAACCGAAGCACCTGGAGGAAACCGGAGCACCTGGAGGAAACCTATGACTAAACGGGGAGAACACGCAAACCCCACAACGAAAGACAGAGACATTGTTAGAGTGGAAGCCTAACGATTTCAGGAAGACTAAATCTGAAACGCTGCCTCTCCGTTTAGTTTAGCCTCTGACCTAGATAACTGCGTGAAGTCAAATCTAGCTAATTCTTCACTCTTCATTTAGCGTCATTGATCTTCCAAAGCTAAACCACTCTCGAACTCTCCTAAATGGACTGCGTGGATGTCAGGTCCTCGTTCGTCTGCGGTTGACGTTGGGGTTTGTTGACGTTGGCTTCGGTCGGCGTCTGGGCACAGAGAGCTCTGAACCGCGAGGATTGAACGCCGGCTTCACCGCGGCGACGCGCTCTTTATCACCAAACCAATTAAGGTGATTTATGGCGCGTCAGGCAGCTCCAGGACGGCTCTGTAAATACCAAACGGACTGTGGTTCAGAGAGATGTTATCTCCGCTTCTGCTGTAGAGACTCCCCCCACTCCCCGTTATCTGGGGCCGGAGGAGGGGCCTGCGTCTCATCTTTGGACATTTGTTTAAGGAATTAGTCTATGTGGAACAGTCTTCCTGAACATGTGAGACAGGCTTCTTCTCTGACAATGTTCAAATCCAGGTTAAAAACTGTCCTGTTTAGCTGTTCATACAACTGAGGGATTTTGTCTTTCAGCTTTATACCCATTGGAGCTGGAACACCTTTAGAACCTTCACACCAAATAAATGTAACTATGTATATTAATATTATATTGTGTGTGTACGTGTGTGTCTTGTATTGAATTAGCCTAATTTAATAATGTTTTAAATACATGTTGTATCCGTGGCCATGTATTTGTTTTAACAGTAAATTAATATATTTTGAGAATAATAGTACTGTATCTGGCTGAATATGGGTTTGTATATAATTTCTTGATTGGTTATTTTTTGCTAAATATAATGAGCGCAGTTTGGCTTGGATTGAACTATAATTGGACCAACAGTAAAGTTTTAAGTACTTTAGACGGATGTGTTTTTAGTAAGATAATGTAGCTTAAAAATGAAGTATAACATGCCATGGTCGATCATCACCAGCTCTCTTTGGGTTTCAACATTTTATTAATAACGCATTTCCACAAAACCTCAAAGTGCTACAGATTAAGATTCAATACAAACAATAACATAATATCAACTAATACAGAAGGCTAAAATCAGTTGTGGTTTTATTGTTTTTTCTAGCAGCAGATAGATGTTCACAGAGCACCAGGGGAGAGTGTGTCTGACTCACAGCAGGAGGGTCCCCTGTCTGAGCTGGTGGATCTTCCCTCTGGCCTCACACTCCTGACGAGGTTGAACTAATGCCTGGTGCGTACCATCAGTCACACTCTCACTGAGACAGAGCTGCAGCTTTTAGTAACAGACCAGACCGTGACATGCAGCAGGAGGAAGGAGGAGGGAGAAGGAGCTGGTTCACAGGGACAAAGTTTAGGTTTGTACAGAACAGTTCATACACGAGGCAAAGTTATCAAGAAAACAAGAAGAGAAACACACATATCCCACAAGCCGTCACAATCCCACACAATAGAAATGAGTACACACACAGATAATGAGAAGGTCGTGAGCAAAATAGCTGTTTGTTAAGCTGTAAATGACTTCTTAGAATAGTTTTCAGACACCACTTGACGTAATTGGTGATTGAGTAAGTTTTGGTGACCCTTCCCCACAGTGAGTAAGTGACCAAAACTGGATTTTTAATATTTTTTGAATTATTTGAGTGATTTCAGTCTATCACTAATCAAAATGTATTTGTATTGCACAGTTCATACTAAATGCAATTCAAATGACTTTACATTGACAACATTGACAAAAGCAATAATCAGCAAATTAAAACGCAAACTGTAAAACACACACAAAAGGCTCTCCCTGGTCTCTCTCTCTCTTGTCTCTCTCCAGTATCTATCTGCGCTCTCTATCTCTCTGGTCTCTCTCTCTCTGGTCACACATCAGACTTCCATGCTGTCTTCATCTCATAAGAAATGACGCTTTTTGACGCTTCGAGCAGATTGGCTGAGTGAGCACGGTCCTATCTTTGTCACTTTTCTATCTGAAAAAGATCTAAAGAAGTGACAGAGGCCAGAAATACATGAAAACTAGTGATAAAACCAAACTACTTTAGACTGAGAAAGTGTAGTTACATGTATTTGATTACATAGTTACGATTTTGTTGCATGAAGGTAAGGTACCCTAGCTTTAACTTGCTGTCAAAAAAGCCATAAATGCATGTAAAAACTAGCTCAGATAATGCTGTATATTATGAGTTGTTTAATAAGTTGTCGTGTTGATTTGAATGTGGTCCGAAGCCTCTCTGGGCCTGGTTTTCGTCCCGTTCTCCGCTGGAGGAGGTGAGATGTTATCTGGACTATGTGAATACCGCTTCTGTTTAAACTCCTCACTCTGGGTCACGAGTTCAGCTGCAGTTTAGACGTCGCCTCCTGAACTTTCGACCCTCTTCACACGACGAGTGGGAAAGTGGGAGAGGAGGACTCCGCCCACGGGAAATCCCCCCATGTGGGTTAGAAAGAGCAGCATTCAAGACACAGGGAGGCAAGAGAGGTCTGAACCTGCATCTTTACTGAGACAAGAGAGGCCTGAGACTGTATGTATACTGAGACAAGAGAGGTCTAGGCCTATGTATACTGAGACAAGAGAGGTCTGAGCCTGCATGTATACTGAGACAAGAGAGGTCTGGGCCTATGTATACTGAGACAAGAGAGGTCTGAGCCTGCATGTATACTGAGACAAGAGAGGTCTGAACCTGCATGTATACTGAGACAAGAGAGGTCTGAACCTGCATGTATACTGAGACAAGAGAGGTCTGAGCCTGCATGTATACTGAGACAAGAGAGGCCTGAGACTGTATGTATACTGAGACAAGAGAGGCCTGAACCTGCATGTATACTGAGACAAGAGAGGCCTGAACCTGCATGTATACTGAGACAAGAGAGGTCTAGGCCTATGTATACTGAGACAAGAGAGGTCTAGGCCTATGTATACTGAGACAAGAGAGGTCTGAGCCTGCATGTATACTGAGACAAGAGAGGTCTGAGCCTGCATGTATACTGAGACAAGAGAGGTCTGGGCCTATGTATACTGAGACATTTTCATATATATCGAGGAGATTACAAAGTCTTTATATTGTTTCCAAACGTCCTTTATTCTTTGTGTATTACATCATTTCAAGATAAAGCATTTCTTTACTCAGAATGTGCCTCGAATAATGTCAAACTATACATTATTAAGACCAAAACTAGTTCAATTCTCTGGTGCTATTTCCCTTCAGTATTTCAGTTTGAAAGTAAATATGCATGCACTTTGAACAACAGAGTTTGATTGTTTTCAATGAAAGAAATGGAGAAGGAGGCCCTCTGAAGAACTGTGTTGTTTATAATTATGAACCCACGCGTTTCGACAAAAGTCTTCGTCAGGGCAGTGAGTGTTGCAGCTGACACACTGCTGATTTTAAGGCGTCATGGGAACACCACTTGAACATGCAATATTTACAAAATACATAAATGAAAATACAAAATATTTGAAATACCAGAGCGACAAAATAAGTCAGACGTTTGTGTATCAATGACAACAAACCCTCCTAACCCAAAACAGGTAACTGTTATGAATTGGTGAGATTGTGATCAAACATGCAGGCAGAGGCGACATGGCTGGAGACAATTACTTTTTCACATCTTATCTAACAAAAAACAAAAATCCAGTGCTGTAGTCTCAGTATTGTGGGGAGGTTATAGGAATGGCAAAAAGTCCATCTCCTCATTGAGTCCAGGATAGCGAGTAGCTATTAGAGCATGGATCCAGTAAGTCTCTCTTTAGAGTAGTTTCTTTAAGGGTTTAATTGTTGTTGATTGAACGACTGTGTTTAGTGTACACACTTTTGTTTCCTCGCGATTGGACTATTGTAACTGCCTGCTCACATATCTTAGTAAAAAATATCTGGCTCGTCTACAAGTGGTCCAAAATTCTGCTGCGAGGCCTTTGACCCGCACCCACGGGAGAGCCCATATTACTCGTATCTTGAAGTCCTTACACTGGCTCCCTGTCTCTCACAGAATACATTTTAAAATTCTAGTGTTGACATTCAGGGTTCTTCATGGTCAGGCTCCTGAATACATCCAGGGCCTGATCCACCCTTATGTCTCCAACAGGAGTCTGAGGTCCTCCACTCAGAACCTGTGGATGGTCCTCCACTCAGAACCTGTGGATGGTCCTCCACTCAGAACCTGTGGATGGTCCTCCACTCAGAACCTGTGGATGGTCCCCCACTCAGAACCTGTGGATGGTCCTCCACTCAGAACCTGTGGATGGTCCTCCACTCAGAACCTGTGGATGGTCCTCCACTCAGAACCTGTGGATGGTCCTCCACTCAGAACCTGTGGATGGTCCCCCACTCAGAACCTGTGGATGGTCCTCCACTCAGAACCTGTGGATGGTCCCCCACTCAGAACCTGTGGATGGTCCTCCACTCAGAACCTGTGGATGGTCCTCCACTCAGAACCTGTGGATGGTCCCCCACTCAGAACCTGTGGATGGTCCTCCACTCAGAACCTGTGGATGGTCCCCCACTCAGAACCTGTGGATGGTCCCCCACTCAGAACCTGTGGATGGTCCTCCACTCAGAACCTGTGGATGGTCCCCCACTCAGAACCTGTGGATGGTCCTCCACTCAGAACCTGTGGATGGTCCCCCACTCAGAACCTGTGGATGGTCCCCCACTCAGAACCTGTGGATGGTCCTCCACTCAGAACCTGTGGATGGTCCCCCACTCAGAACCTGTGGATGGTCCTCCACTCAGAACCTGTGGATGGTCCTCCACTCAGAACCTGTGGATGGTCCTCCACTCAGAACCTGTGGATGGTCCCCCACTCAGAACCTGTGGATGGTCCTCCACTCAGAACCTGTGGATGGTCCCCCACTCAGAACCTGTGGATGGTCCCCCACTCAGAACCTGTGGATGGTCCTCCACTCAGAACCTGTGGATGGTCCCCCACTCAGAACCTGTGGATGGTCCTCCACTCAGAACCTGTGGATGGTCCTCCACTCAGAACCTGTGGATGGTCCCCCACTCAGAACCTGTGGATGGTCCCCCACTCAGAACCTGTGGATGGTCCTCCACTCAGAACCTGTGGATGGTCCCCCACTCAGAACCTGTGGATGGTCCTCCACTCAGAACCTGTGGATGGTCCTCCACTCAGAACCTGTGGATGGTCCTCCACTCAGAACCTGTGGATGGTCCTCCACTCAGAACCTGTGGATGGTCCTCCACTCAGAACCTGTGGATGGTCCTCCACTCAGAACCTGTGGATGGTCCCTGCACTCACTTTAAAACCAGAGGAGACAG